CCAGAATTAGATAGGAACCCGTTTCCTTGGCTAATATGGTATATTTGGAAGGCTCTGAACAATAAACTATTCCGAGGAATTGATAGAGATCCTCTGGAACTAGCCCGGTATGCGGAAAGTGAATGCCTTGCATGGTTCCAAGCCAATGAGCAGGAGACAGTGCCATCGCAAGGAAACATAGATGCTGACACCCAGGTCATAAACCTGGGAGATATCTGTTTGGTAGACGGTTTTTGGACCTTTATAGATCAATACTCAGGTTGTGGCTGGAATTGGATAGATAGCATGGGGAATATTCAGATGGGCATGCGTAATGTTAGTAGGGTGGAGTCAGCTTTGCACTCTGAGTTGGAAGCACTGCGGTGGACAATGGAGAACATGCTTGAACATTCACCATGTCAGAGCTTTGGGACGGATTGCAAGGAATTGATAGCAATGCTCACAAACCTCCATGAATGGCCAAGCTTTTCGACGGAATTGGAGAGGCTCTTGACATTGCGGATTTGCTTCCCAGATTTCAGGATAGTTTATGTTCCTAGGTCTCAAAATGCTATGTCCGATTTTTTAGCTAACACTACTCGATCCTTCTATCGAGATCTGATGTATGTTGATTGTTTTATTCCGGTTTAGATCCCTAGACCATCTCAAATTTGAGTAATAGATCAGCCGTTCGTTGTAAAAAAAAAAAAAAAAATTTCTACAATTGGCGCACATTCACTTCAAAATAATTACATGAAGGTGTGCGATGAAGAAAATGGACAAAACCAAATATGGGTTCGGACAAACGTGGTCATCGAGGATCATATCATCGTTCCCAAAATCCAACAACAAAAGATAGAGAACGCTGACGCTGTGAGAATATGGGCTTTGGATTAGTATTGTTCTATTGGATCAGAAACTAGAACAAAGCCCATCACATAATATGCTTTACAAAACGACGTTGATGTTGTTACGTAACGAAGAAGTCAAGAGAAGAATCCTAAGAGAAATAAGGAAAAGAACTATTTACATAATCCATACGACATTAGGAGGAATAAGTCAGCTACGGTTCAAGTATAAAAGGAAGACGTCGAAGCCTTACAAGATGAGCGGTGAGATCCGAGAAAAACCCTAATACAAAGAGAAGTCAAGAGAGAGATCAAGAGTAGAAGAAACTAAGGAGAGACATTGTTCGAGTCATGTCTTTAAGGGATAGAGTTTCTTTGATCTTTCTTATTCTTTGTTGTGTAGAGCGCTTAGAGCGTTTGTGTAAACCCTTTTGACTGATAGTGGATGTTGTGGGAGACGGTTCCCACCCGAGACGTACCGCGCTAGAGGCCGAGAACTCGATGATCAAATTCTATGTGTTATTTAGCTAAGCAATCAAACGATCGATAATTCCTAACAAGTGGTATCAGAGCAATCCAGGTTTTGATTGCGGGGTTAGTGAGATCACGAAGTCTGAATTGTATAGAAGAAAGATAAAGGGACTTATCGTTTCTTCGAGATGGTGGAGCCAACACATGGAAGGGTTAAGGTTGAAAGATCAAAGGGTAGCATGACATTAAAAGAAGTACGGGGTTGCTGAAGACTTGAGACTGATTTCCGCTGCAATCACAAGGTAATTGTGATGGTTTAGGTTTTTGTATACTCGAGGCTGCTAAGGTTATGGAGTCTAGATTTTGGGAGAACACATGGAAGTAGACCGGTTTTAACAATAGAAAAGTCATGATTTTTTGCTGTGAAATCAGGTTGTATCTTGGCTTGTTCTAGTTGTTGAAAATCTATTCAGTTTGGTGTTCAAGAATGGGTTGATAGAGCAACATGATTTATAAATCCATGCCTAAGGGACGCCTTGGGAATGGAATATATGTGAGGAAAGTTGTCTCGAGGTTATGTTACAAATCTTAGATTCAAAAGGAATGGTTACAGCAAAAGAGTATGGAGGTGAAACAAGGAGGCTGCTTGTAGCAAAGCACGGTACGGTCAGGTCTGAGAATCTTCAGAGAGGGTTAAATGTCAGGGAAAAGGATCAGAGTTTCAAGAGCTAAAGAAGAACACAAAGGGTTGTGTAAGGTTCTGTAAAAAGAGATGCTTGGACTAAGGTTGTGTATCGAAAGTCCATCTAGCAAGGATAATGGCTTGATGGCGTGTTCTGTTTAGTGATAACAGCGGTATACAGAGGAGTTCAAGGTATATCTGATACAGAAGGGTCTGGTTGAACAAGAAGAGCTGAATGAAAAGTTGTGTCGAAAGTCTTCCCAAGAAGACTGGTTAGGAGGCGTGTTCCATCATGGATGATGGCGGTACAAGATGGATTCAGGGTTCTGGAAACTCAAGAGAAAGGAATCTAGCAGCAAGGTGTAATATTGTTAGTAAGGTTTTGTTTAACAAGAAGCATGGATCATGGTTTGTGTGAGCATATTTGGAAGCTTGATGGTGTGTTCTGTTAAGGTTAACGGCGGTATAAAGAAGGATCCAAGGCTGTGGAGTTAAACAGAAGGGCATGTTGAATCAAGAACAGTTTCAAGATGGAAACGTGTATGATTCAGTAGCATTTGATTAAGCCATAGAGACTAAAGAAAGAGCTAAATCAGTCCTTGCTGCAACTGAAGGAAGGAAATCAAGATGCAAAGAGGAAAGATGAGTTCAATCAACAACAGATTCATGACAGTCATGGAGGAGGCTGTGTGATTGATTGAGTTATAGTAGAATCAATGTAGCTTCAGGCATGAGGCAAGGACGATTCTATTAAAGGAAGGGTATATGTTTATGCACTACAAGATTTCATTAATTGGCAAACGTTAATGATGAGAAGTGAAAAAGCTTATATAGGTAAAGGGAATTACCTAAAGAATGGAAAAGAAAAGGGGATGAGCTCAGAAGTCGTCAAGAATCAGAAATCATGGAGTGTTGATTCTGGTTCTAGGTGGAGCTCGTTTTGGAAGTCTGAAACGGTTTCATGTTCAGAGTTAAGGTTCTCTGGGTAAAAAGAGACATCTGGTTAAATGGGTGCAAAAGAGATTAAAATCCAAGGAAGTGGATTGAGGATGTTACCTATAATAGAATTGGACATGGAGCTGTGAAAGAACAGAGAGTTCACGTGGAGTTTCTGTTGAAAGTAAGCATGAAATTCAAGTAAGAGTTTCACTTGTATTTTTTGAAAATCAGAAACAAAAGAGATCGGGAATAAAGGTGTACTTGAGATCATCAACGCAGCAGAAGAGCCATGGTGGTTCATCGGAGGAGCTGCATAAAAGCACTGTGAAACATTACCGTTTCAGAGAAATATCAGAAGGTTCAAAGCTCAAAAGGTCACACGAAAGAAAAAAAAAAAGATACGAGTGTTATGTATACCTGAGTATTTCAGAGAAGGGCCATTGGATAAGATTACATAAGGAAATGTCTTAAACAGTGGTGGTGGCGAAGGCTTTCGCCGGACAAGCTGTAGAGAGAAGACAAGGAAGTGCATTAGCTCTGTATGCAACTTATCAAGAGAGATGAGTCAGAGGCTGGAGGCTCTTGAGCACTGATATCATAGGATCATCGATGGAGTGAAATCAGAGTTCCTATCAATGGTGATAGCTTGAGAGAAAATGGAAACTTGAGAGAGAGTCATGAATCTTTCTGAGTTTTGAGCTCAAGAAGAAAACAGAAGCATTGCGGTCGATGGTGGTGTAATCGAAGGAAGAATCAGAGTTCAAGGTGGAGTAACTTGATCTGAGGTTGATGGCAAACTAATTCTCTGAGTTGAGATGGTGGTGGAATCGCTGGGAAAACAGATTCGTCGATGGAAATTCGAAATCGCCAGACAAACTGAAAGGAGACGTGTGACATATATCACAGCGGAGGAGGTGTACAGGTACACCGGAGAAGCTGGAGAATGCGGTAATAGAGTTGCCGGAGAAGCTCGAAAGGGTCTGCAAGCTAAAGTATTGCAGAAAGGTTTACTATCTGGAATAAATCAAAGGGACAGGGGAAGATTTTGTAAGCTGCGTCAGAGAAGTAAAACATGCCAAGAAACTGCAGAGATGATGATCAGAGTTGTTTGGTTCAGATGTCGTGGCATCTAGAAAGGATTTGAGGTTTCATCTCGGGTGGCGACATACTCGAGTTGAAGGTCACCGGAGGGAACCGCCGTGGGCTGCAGATATTCACCGGAGTCACTGACCGGAGTTATAGTTGCATGTCAAGATCTGTTTTTTGAAACGTAATCTGAAGGGAAAGCTTCAATTTGCCATCGGGGAGCACAAGGTCTTGAGGTTTTGAGAGTATAAAGGCTATGTCGAGATGGTAAATGAGATTGCTGGAAAATTCCTACGGTAATAGCAGTCATCATCAGAAAGTCAAGTTTTTTTTCTCTCGTCAAAGACAAGAGACAATTGTTCTTTTGCCATGGAAGAAACGTGAGGTAGAGATGGGCCTTATCAGATCAAAGCCCAAGGTGGAGAATTGTGAGAATATGGGCTTTGGATTAGTATTGTTCTATTGGATCAGAAACTAGAACAAAGCCCATCACATAATATGCTTTACAAACCGACGTTGATGTTGTTACGTAACGAAGAAGTCAAGAGAAGAATCCTAAGAGAAATAAGGAAAAGGACTATTTACATAATCCATACGACATTAGGAGGAATAAGTCAGCTACGGTTCAAGTATAAAAGGAAGACGTCGAAGCCTTACAAGATGAGCGGTGAGATCCGAGAAAAATCCTAATACAAAGAGAAGTCAAGAGAGAGATCAAGAGTAGAAGAAACTAAGGAGAGACATTGTTCGAGTCATGTCTCTAAGGGATAGAGTTTCTTTGATCTTTCTTATTCTTTGTTGTGTAGAGCGCTTAGAGCGTTTGTGTAAACCTTTTTGATTGATAGTGGATGTTGTGGGAGACGGTTCCCACCCGAGACGTACCTCGCTAGAGGTCGGGAACTCGGTGATCAAATTCTATGTGTTATTTAGCTAAGCAATCAAACGATCGATAATTCCTAACAGACGCCTTTCTAGAGGAATATGTTTCCAACGTCATGAAGATCCCTCTGGACACCTCCAGGCCATTATGGGAGCTTCACTTACTCGACTTGAAAACCGTAGACACCGAAGCGGTTGCCGTTTTAAAGATCCACCACTCGCTCGGTGATGGCATGTCAATCATGTCTCTCCTCCTCGCTTGTATGCGTAAAACATCCAACCCTGACGAGCTGCCGAGTCTCCCTACTGCTTCATCTCGGTTAACGGCCGGTTCAAGGAGTACTTCCAGGTTATGGTGGTTGGTTAAGACTATCTGGACGGCGGTTATGTTGATATTAAACACGGTTTGTGATGCTTTGGAGTTAAGTTTAACGAGATTGTTCTTCAAGGATACCAAAACGCCCATCAAAGGCGATTTCCTATAAACGAAGAAGGGTAGAGGGTTGCGTCTGGTTCATCGCACCGTAAGCCTTGACGATATAAAACTAATCAAGAACTCCATGAAGATTGTATGCTTATTTTTCTCCTTTGATTTGTAGGGGGACACATTCTCTTAGTCAAATTGTTTGCTCAATTCATTAGAGAGATGCCTTATCAGCTTTGACATATCACTATAAGTATACGAGCCCCTAGAAATCAGCTTTAAAATGTCACTATAAGTATATGAGCTCCTACTCCTAGGGAACCAGTAATCACCATAAGTACCATAAACATACTGTAGTCGTAGTTCTGGTTCTTGAAAACTAGGCTGAATGCTATAAAGTTCACTTCAAGAAAAATAACAATAAAGTTGAATATCTCATATTCTGGTTTAACAGACAGTCAACGATGTTGTACTTGGGGTAACCCAAGCTGGTGTCTCGCGATACTTGAAGAGAAGATACGGTAACTAAACTGCACACTCACTTTCTTCTAGCAAGGGACAGTTACTGCATATTATTAGCGTACAGTCTAATAATGTTGTGAAAATCTAAGAGAAGAAAGTAACACGAGTGAAAGAAAATGCCTTAAAGAACAAGGATAAGGGCAGCTCTGCTTGTAAACTTAAGACCCACCACTGGAATCCAGGCAAGTTTATAAAAGCTCGCTTACTTCACTTATTACAAGTTAATAACTAGTTACAGGGGGATTTCGATAATTTTGTTTTTTTAAGACAGGAACTAGCCGATATGATGGCGAAAGGGTCCAAACGTAGGTGGGGAAATATGGTTAGCTGTTTAGTCTTTCCATTTTCTATAGCATTACACGATGACACCACTACAAGAAAACTTGTCTATTACTAGGATGGGTATTCCTCGTTATTTCCTAGTAAATGACAATTTATTAGGAACTTACGAGGAAACGTGTTTCGTCGAAACACGTTCATCGTAAAACCTTTTTCCTCGTAAGGTCCTAGATAATTTACGAGGAAACCTTTCCTCGTAAAGGCGTGGTTAGCTTTTCCTCGTAAGGTCCTCGTAGGGTTTCCTTGTAAGCTCTTAGTTAGACTTTCCTCGTAAGCTCGTAGTAATACATTACGAGGAACTTACTAGAATTATTTACGAGGACATTACTTGGAAACCTTTACGAGGATTTTGTTTCGAAATATTTTTTTTCCTATTAAAAAAAATAATTATAAATATAAATAATTTATTTTAAAAAAAATCAAATTATAAATAAAATATAAAAAAACAAAATATTTTATAAGTAACTAAATAATATACAATTCAGTTTTAAAATTCATAATATACACTTAAAAATAAAAAAAAAACTACGGATGCTGGTCGTGAAATTGCCGAACGAACTCATCCTAGCTCGCCAAATCCTGCTCCTCTCCAAAGTTGGTTGCCGACTGTGACTGTGATGGTGGATGCTCTTGGGTTGGAAGCCCTCAGCGTTCTCGTCTCTGACGCAACATCTCCTCCAATTGCGGGTTTCCAACAGCCAAAATGTCGAGGACATTGGTGAGAGAAGTCACATGCTCGGTGAGCGAACTCACATGAGACTGCGTCGCCTGCAACTCCGAGCGCAGCTGAGCATTGACATCGTGCTGCTCCTGAGCATAAGACGATGTCGCTGCAGGGACATCGTTAACCGACCCAATCCCGACGATACGCCCCTTTTTCCTAGGGGAGACCTGTAAATAAAAATATTAATAACATTAAGAAAAAAATTAAATAAATAATAAAAATTAATAGTAAAACAAATTATTTACCTCCTCGTAAATCTTATCCACTTCAAGAGTGGATAATATGACTGGAGTCCCAGACTGCTGAGTCAGCTGGGTCTGGCGTTCGTCAACTCGGGAAACAACCTCGTTGTAGATCCGCTCAAAAGCAGGATCTACAAACTGCCCAGCTTTGTTCCGGTGGGTCCTCTCGTAAAGGTCTTTCAGAGATGGAAGAACTCCTGTCTCTTTAGCCTAAAAGTAGTTTTTAAAATTAAATATTAATTTGGAATATTCAAATAAAATAAAAATTAAATAGTTATTAAAAATCATCTTACCATGTCTAGACGAACTCCCCCGTGAGGTTTTCGAACCATGGTGTGAAGCATCTTCATGTTGCCATGCTCGTCTCTGGTCATGCGGTTCCCGGAGTTTTTGTGGGAGGTTCTGACCGAGTCCGGCAACCCCCAATAGCTGATGAGACTATCCCACCGTGGTTATGAGGCAATCAGGTTTCCCGTCCTCGTAACCATCCACCTGATTTAAAATAATTAGAATTAAAGTCAATAATATTTTAAAACTATATATATATTATAATTTATAAATCCATACCTGATAGTTGCACTTCCAGTTGTAGACCATGTCGAGCAATCGTGCTCTTGACTTGCCCTCAAACTCCGTCTTCACCCGCTGGTGAATCCCAATAGACCAACGATATTTTTGCTGTAACGAGAAAAAATAAGAGACAAATTAGTTCAATAATATTAATAATTTAAATAATTAAAAATAAAGTAAGTTGATAAATAAAACTTACAGCGAACGATTTAGACCACGTCTTTTTTGTGTGGCTCGCCGTCTTCTTCCAGATTGGAGCTGCATCGGGAAATTATCCTTGATACAGTCCGTGACGCTAGTTGCGACACAATTGTCAAGACCAAACCTGGAAAGACACAAAATAAATCATTAATTAGATTAATTTTTAAATAAATTTAAAAAACTTTTTTAAAATTAAAACATACCATAATACGTTTTGGCCGTCCCGTCGGATAGGATCTAACTCTGGCAGCCCTTCACTGCATGGAAGAGCCAAAATATCCTCCACCGTGTACACCGCAAAGGGTGCGTTCGGCGGCACCTGCAAGTCGGGATGAACCCCGACCGGTGGAGGAGGAGGAGGAGGAGGAGGAGGTGGAGGAGGATGTGGTTGCCGGGATGCCGTAGAAGCTCCCTGAGTCTCGGGAACAGCGTAACGATCCGGAATCAAAGATGAACCGGGAGCTGACGAAGATGAACCGGGAGCATCCTGACGCCCGAAAATATCTCCGTAGTGACTCCCCTGAAGAGACGACGTCCTCTTACTAGCAGCCCTAGCAATCTTGCTCTGTCTAGGCATCTATATTTTTTTAAAAAAAAAATCAAAACATTAATTCCCGTATAATTTAAAAAAACAGTTAAAAAAGTAAACCAACATAATCTAAATTACCTAAACTAACCACCTAATCTAAATTCCCTAAACTAACCACCTAATCTAAATTCCCTAATCTAATCACCTAACTATGAATTAGAGAGAACCTTTAGAGGATTCAGAGAGAAGCTTACTACAAAATGAGAAATCGGATTGCTCGAGTTTATATAAGGAATTTTGTTTCCACGTAAAGCCCTAGTAACAATACTAGGGCTTTACGAGTAAATATCTATGCCCGTGTTTTTATTTCCTCGTAAGGTCCTAGTAATACAATTACTAGGAACTTACGAGGAAAATGCTTTACGAGGAAATAGCTATGCTCGCGTTTTTTTCCTCGTAAAGTCCTAGCAATACTTTACTAGAAATTTACGAGGAAACGGCTATATCCGCGTTTTCTATTACTAGGGCTTTACGAGGAAAGGGTTAATAAATCCCTAAAATCGAAACCCCAAACCCCAAACCAAAACTTCCATAACTTATAACATCTTCTACAACCAAACTCCTAACCTCTTCTACACATAAACCTCAAACCCCAAATGCAAATTGATTTTTGTGATTAAACAAACTTAAAACATATATAATCCAAATTCATTTTTGTGATTAAACAAACTTATAAACATACATAATTCATTCGGATACATTGTCGTAATATGTCGAAACATCATCATTTTCTAAAAACTCGTCGTCTACACCTTCGTCCGTTGAGTGATCAGGAACATATTCGTATTCACGATTGTGCGGATCAATGAGTAGGAACTCATCAATTTCTGCTTCAGCTTCATCGATCTCATTGGTGTTTTCTTCTTGTAATGGTGGTTCTTCTCCAGCGATTATTCGTCCTCGAGGTGTAACTTTGATAAACAGCTAACCAGTTTATTCCCGAGGTAGTAATCCGAGGGTATGGAATGAAGCAAACTTGATATGCTTGGGAAGCTGATATGAAAGGCTTGAACTTGTTGTACCTACGAAAATAAAGATCAATCTAAAAATTAATTAATACTGGAAACCTGGATATTAAAAAAAAAGAATTTGTTGTACCTTCACCCACTGTTGACATCAACTACACCGTTCTTGTTAATACGAATACCTATGTTGACGACGGGGTCGTACCACTCACACTTGAAGATAACGACGTATTTCAAACTCATACCTGGGAATTGAACTTCATAAATCTCCTGCAAGATCCCGTAGAAATCTGTTTCGCCTTTCACACATATTCCATAATTACTTGTCGCTCGGTGTCTACCATAGTCATAGGTATGAAAAGTATAGCCTCGGGTGAAATACATCGATGATGTAGTGACCTTTGCAACTGGACCTTGAAGTAATTCGCGAAACCATGCGGGATACTCAGGATCGTCATAATCAACCTGCAACAGAAAGTAATATAACTAGACATTAGACTTAATTTGTGGTAATTTATGCATACACTTTAAGTAATAAATAAATACATGTTTCCTCAACCACTTGATAAAGTGTTGATCTTTCCTTTTTTTCTAACTCAGTTGTCGATATACCAGGTATTGCTTCCTCGACTTGAGTGACAAATTGGCTGTAAAATCATATATGTTATGTTATATATTTAATATTGAAAAAAATAATATATATATGTATATATATATATATATATATAAGTGTGTATGTTTATATATTTACCTTTCAAAATAAGCAATCAATGGATGCTCGCAATTAAGAAGAATATAAAGGTGTGCACTATGGACGTCTTCATCACTCGACCACCAAACCTCTTTCAATTTCCCACCCAATCGCCCAATTTGACAAAAGATGTCTGGAACATCGTCTTCCATATNTAT